CGGCACTGACCGCCGTGAGGCGCGGGGAGGCTTCTCCCGCGCTTTCCTCCGCCCCGCTGAGGGGATTTAAATGGCGCCGGCGCGGCCGCGCCTGCAGCTTCGCGATTCTTGACGCTGGGGAGCGATGAGGCTGAAGGCCCCTCTGATGCCGCGCATCGTGATTCTCTAAACTGGTATAAAATATAATTTAGGCCGAGATTAGCCAGGTTTAGGTTAACTTTCCCACTCTAAAACGAGCACGTACTTAAAAACCCGCTTAAGACGCCGGGACGGTGGTGTGTAACGTGTTCTGTGCTCTTAAGTAGCTGAAAAGTAAACGTTGCTCGTTAATTTTGACACGAGCTGGGTGTCTGAAATCCAGCAAATGCCATTGTTAACTGTTTTCCTCAATAGAGTACAGTGACAGTTAATAAATAACAGCCTCGTTACTTAAATTGAGTAATGTATTCACAAAACGTCCCGGCATGGGTATCTCCTGTCAGTGACAGGAGCATGAGCGTTGTTGGAGCTGGTATGTATACTTTATATAAACGTACATAGATGCAAGGACACAAGGGAAGGTTTGCTGGGAGCTTCGGAAATGCACGAGTTTTTGACAAGACCCGTTTTTAAAAAATGCTTGCGTTTAAACATCCAGAAAAAGGCTGTAAGTCTTTAAAATACTGTAAAATCTTTAAAAGATGCACACTGCTAAGTCTTAAGTGTATCCCCCAAGCTCTTTGTCTTACTATTTCCAGGTTCTTCTAACTTGAAATTGAACACGTCAAAAACATTAGTAGTTGGCATTGGTATCTGCTGTCTCTTTGCTAGTAAGCAAAGAAGTTTCCAACAGTGTTTTGATATAAAAATTGTACTCTAGTTTCCTCAATTTCAAAAAAGAGAACGTAAAGCAATTGTGTTCAGAAATTTTTCTGATAAAGCTTTGCTTAACTCAGCAGTCATATATTTGGGGACTGTGTAGCTGGTTTATGGTTTTATCTGTCTTTTTAATATTTCTTTTTCAGGCTGAAGCCATTCAACAGACTGCAAGTAATATTACAACACTTGGTAAGAACAGCATCTTGTTTGACTGAGCTGGAAGCTTTTAGGATGCTTAGCTCCCCTGAGACAGACAGCACATGCAACTTCTAATGTGTCTGCTCACAGTGGTTCTGAATGCCATCATTTATTGCTCAGGCACAACGTTGCCCATGTCTTTGAGTACTTTCTTACAATTTCTTTTGTACTGTATATTAAAGCTTAATTATTTTGACCTTGCCTACTTCTATAGTTAGTTTCTACATTAGCTTCTGTGTATTCCTTAAATATCATTCAACTGTGAGTTTGAAGTCAATTGTGAAAATACTTTAGTGATTTGTTCTTTGCTGTTAAAAGTTACTTACAGACAAAGCAATGTGTATGTTTTTGTTTGCAGTGTTAAACTGTCAGTAGGGAGACATGGAACTGCCCTTTTTATAATTGTTGCAGGTATTTTCAGAATGTCAGTCTTAAACTACCATGGGTTTGTGTTTTATTGTTTGTTTGGTTTTTTTTTAATGAACTCAAATGTCATTGTCAAAGAGTGTGTGGCTCAAAAAGTTTTCTGAGTTTTATTACTCTGTAGGACTCAAACATAAAGTGGTTTCAAAAGAACCATTTAGCAGATGCAAATTAAACTTGAAGTACAGTGGGAAATCCTGAGCATACAATTCCAAAATGCCTGTTTTATGATCTTAAATAGTGTGTTTTGAGAATATATTTCCATAAACAGTCTTGTATGTATGTTACTCAAGGTATCTAACTGATGACATTTGCTTTGTTTATTTGTTTTTGCATATACAGAAAATGTCTAAGCAAACAGATTTGACAGCTGAAGTGTTGTTGGAGAAGAGAGGAGGTGCAGGAATCATAACTTTGAATAGACCCAAGGTTCTCAATGCTCTAAGTTTTACTATGATCCGACAAATTTATCCACAAATAAAGGTGAGTTGCTCCATTTCTACCCATCCACTATACATAAGTTATCCAAAACCAATTTTAAAATTCAGTCTGACACTTCTTAGTGTGCTGATTTAAAGAATGAAAGTCTATGCGAGTGTATTGGCCAATGAGCTCAGGTTTATAGGACAGGAAAGAACAGACAGTTTCAAGCAAGTTAGAAAGAGAAGACAACACCAAAGAAACAAGCTGTCAGACAAAGTTAAATTTAGCATCTGGATAGATAAAGAGACACCCATACTAAAACCAGAACTGAATTAAAACCAAGCAGTGCTCAGCGTTTATACGTTCCTTTTGGCAACACCCAGCTGGTCAGTTGGCATGCACGAATTCCAAGCTATAATGGTGTTGCCTCTTGATTGGGGTGCATGTTTTGTGGGAATGCTGCGTGGCTGAAATAGAAGATACAAGCCATTAGGAAGCAAGGTTCTGTCAGTATCATTCCTTAAAGAAGAACTTTATGGATTTACAGGCACTGTTTCTACAAGCTAGTGAAGTAATGTGAAATGCATGCAAAAAGTCCTTTTTAACTTAGTGATATTATTTATCATACGCACAAAGTCAAACTTACTAGATACCAGTATTTGTTGGATAGTTGCCTGCCTTTTGGTAAATGGTTGTGTTGCAAATTTACGCACTCTTCGAAGAACGTTTAAAGAAAGAAATACTTAATCTGTAGTGCTGAGTACCAGGCTCTATTTGAGGAATAACCTTTAAAGGTGGCATAATTGTAAGTACAGTTGCTGGTACAGAAATGTTGTGTCTGTCTTTTGTCTGGGTAGGCGTACTTGAATAAGGATATATAAGCATAGTTTAAGGGGTGGTGGGAAAGCCTGTAAAAGGCATCTTTTTCTCAATACAGTTGCACCACTTCTGAAGTCTTGTACCAGCGTATTTAATTAAAAAGAACCACAATAGCATAGTCTTTATACCTAGCAAAACATCTGTGCACAAATTTAATCCAGTCCTTGATTAGCATTGATTGGAGTAGTTTTGATGAAATCCATCAACAATTTAAATGCTGTTTGATTTATGTAACTTTCATGATTTGGCCTGAAACATTGTTATTTTAACTTCCATATTCCCAGCTTTCTGCCCCAGCATTGTGTTCTCATTGAGATTTATGTCAGGCTCTGTTTTAGAGAGTGCAGCCTTCTTTCAAAGGTTGGGAGTCTCTGCACAGACGTTTTTCTGAAATATGTGAGGCAGCTCTGCTGATCTCTGATGTCAAGGTTGATTAGGACATGGGAGTGGCAGAAAGACATTTCGCTCTCAAACTTCAGTTTAAGATAAACTATTTTAAGTATGGCTTGATTTGCTTCTCGAAAAAAGTAAAGTAAGAATTATAGACAGTATACAGAGAAAGATTATAGTCTGTGCAAAAAATGCTTACATGGAAATATTTACTTCGTTTTAGGCTTGGGAGCAAGATCCTGAAACTTTTCTAATAATTATAAAGGGAACTGGAGGAAAAGCTTTTTGTGCTGGGGGTGACATCAAAGGTAAGGACTACAGTCATGTAAACATTTGACATGTCTTTGCCAGTTACTACTTTGTGTTGATTTCCTTTATTTGCTGTCACTCAGATAAACAGAGACTTGTTACACAACAGTAAGAGACTAGTTGTGCTGACTTCTCATGACACCTTGATGTGCAGATGCTGTTCAAGTTATTTGTCAGGAGACAGCTGTCGGAACATTTTATAAAAGATTAAAAACTGGGGTTTTGTGAATAACTGCTAATAGTAGCTAGTCATTCCTGGCAAGAGAAGGTTCTTGTCTCTACCTTTTTCTTCTCTGATTTTCGGTACTAACAGCTTCTTTAAAAGAAATTTGAAGGGTCCTAATAGGTAGCTCTGTTACTATTGGATAGTTTGTGACTGATGTTTGAGATGACTAGATACAGAGCTGACGATGGTGATCAATGTATCTGTGATTATGTTGTAACTATGAACTGCAGGAAATCTCCAAACTGTGGAAATTGGCAGTTGTTTTAAATTTTAGGTAAAACAGCAGCACAAGTTATTGTTAAATTATGTTCTGTGCTAATTGGCTTCTCATTTTTAGTATTCAGAGTTTTCAGTATTACCAATTTTAAGTGACTGTTCTATTTATTGATACAAAATATCACCAACAAGACTACCAGACTTTAGGAGGGGTTTCACAGTGTAGAAAATGGACTGCACTCTCCCAACTATGTGACAAAATCTCCAGCATACTAGAGTTGACTCAAATTGGAAATTTTGCGTTCATATTTAAATTTGAGCAAATTTTCTCAAATAAAATAAAGCAAGATTAAGTTGCTGTTTGATTGGTGTAGGAAAAAAACTCTTATCACTTAATATTTACTTGTATTTTCTATTAAACTAACAGTTATCTTTAGAATTTTTCTTTCTCTTGAGTCATCAGAGATGCAGGAAAAGTTGGAGACAGACTGACCCAAGATTTCTTCAGAGAAGAATATATCCTGAACAATGCCATTGGTATGTTTAATAGCAAATTCTGAAGCAGTACAGTTTTCATAATAGGGGCCTTGAATGTAAATTCACTTTCTCTCTTTGCTGATCTATGAAAGACTGCGATAACATAATAGAAGTAGTAATTTTTATTTTTTTTTTACCAAGTTCAATACCAGTAGTGTAACATATCTCACTGTTATACTTTGCATGCAGAATTTGTTTCTTTTGTTTAAGCTACTATGATCTACCTTATCCCATCCCAGTGTTCTGGGTAGTTATATTTGTGGTATGTATGAATTAAGTCTCAGATGCAGACAGCGCAGTTTGGCACTAAGTATAATTGATTACTTCAGAAAAGACCTGAGACAAAAATAGATGCATGGAAAATCGTTAATATTCAGTCAGAAAGCAGAAGATCAAATTCAGTTAAAGCTTTCCATTTAAATAAATGGCATAAATGAATACTCAAGGTAGGAGTTAACTGCCTTCGTTTAATGCAAGGAACCTAGGAGTATATGTTCTTAAAATAACCAACAGCAAAGACACCGGGTAAAGTTTACTGGGGTAAAGGATATTAAGAAAGGATATTAATTCTTTAGGGTGAAAGTCAGGATCTGAATGTTTTGGTGAGAAAAAACTTCTCCAGACATACTTTAATGGAATGCAGTTTGAGTTGTTAAACATTGTATCCAGTATTAGTCACTACAGGAGGAGAGGTGAACATGCTGCTGCATCAGTTTAGGTCAACAGAAGAGCACAGAGTTATTAGAATACGACTAGTTTCTGAAAAGTTGTTTTTACTTTTTTTGACAGTTTCCAGTTTCAGCTTGTCTGTCACGTACCTTTCTTGCCTTCATCAAGAAAAATAGTTTAAGGTTTCATGTACTTGGGGAAAACTAGTTTTACCATGGCAGTTGGACTAGATGATGGTTGTATGTCCCTTCCAACTCTTCTAGTCTATTCAAATATTGCAAGGGTACATACTTTAAAATTATTAGGGTGTTCTATGTCTATAATGCATGTAATTACAAAACCTAGATTTTTGATAACTTTGGTATGATTGTATTCCTTTAAGTCTGAGATTTCTGTGAAAAAATTTACTTATATCTTACATTTTACAACTTAAAAATACACAGGGGAGTGCTTTCACCGTATTTGCTATTGGAAAGGCATGCTTCTGTAGAAATTTAGTTCAAAGGCTACCATCTAGAGCCCAGGTATTACCTTATGTGTTCATATAAGATCAAAGTTAAAAATGCTGTTCCATTCTATTTTGTAATTACTGATTTGAAGGATTGAACTGCCTTTTAAAATAATCCTTTTTTTAAACAAGGATCTGTAGTTGCAGCAGATACCCATATCAGCAATCTGACTGAACTTAAGTCTGACCTGAAAACACTGAGATGAGGCAGCGGTTTCATTCAGTTTTTCCATGAATGGCAATTGAAAGCATTGGGTCTTTAGTTTCATGCCTCCTGAAGGCCCCAACAGATAAAACTGTGGAACTTGAGGACGTTACCATCTCGACCTGCCTGCACCACATTCAGGGTTGTAACACACAACAGAGTTGGCAAGACAGAACGCGTTTGCATTGCAGTAGTTTGTAGTCATGGTTTGGCTGAAACCTACCAATGCCTCTGGCTTTGTGGTAAAGTACTGGAGCGCTGGTGTAAACTCTATGCTGTTAATCCCAGCTGTGAGACGGGGTGAAAGGGAAACTGTTGTGTTCCAGCACCATACAAAGCTATTTATAACAGCTACATGTGGCCATGTTGTCAGGTGCTCACACAGCAAACAACCTGGCATTAGAGGGTTGTGTAGTGTTCTCTTACGACACTCAGAGTGCAGTAAGTCAGTAACTGGTTTGTTGCTCAAGAATTACATGAAGTACCTTGATTATGAGTTGTAAATTAAGCAGTAAAACATCCATTTACGTTCTATTGCTCTTGCTGGAGACAGACATGGGGAAGCGTGTCATGCATACAATTAGTCACAGGTCTGCTCTTTTAAAAACAGGTCCATTTTTTTTTACGTTTCTTACAGGCACTTGCAAGAAGCCATATGTGGCACTTATCGATGGCATTACAATGGGAGGGGTAAGTTAAGCACGTTGGTGTGCTATATAATTTGTTTTAAAGTAATGTAATATTCTGTACTTGAATGAAGAGCACACATGGCATTTCAAGCATTCCAATTCAAGGGCAGATGTTGTAATCTGAATCTTTGTCTCTTGCTTGGCAGGGTAGATTGCTGCTCTTCTAGTGCTTCTGCTGTTCTTTGCTAGCTATCTTTCTCTAAGGATTTGACAACTGTGTTGAGAAGCAGAGCAGAATCCTGTCGCTGTAGGAAACACCTCTCACAAAGGTTTTCAGAATATGGAGGCGTGAGTTTCTAGATCATACAAGAGCCAAGAAGAATTTTCCACTCAAAGTGTATTAAAAATAGAACTATATAAAAATACAATTAAAGGAAAACTCTTTGAAAAATTGGAAAAATGTTTTTCTAAGCTATACTTTAACAGACATTCATAACATCAGTTTTGTATTTTTCCAGCAAATAATCTGGAAATCCATCTACTTTCTCACCTCTGCAGTACTCCTAAAACATGAGTTATGAGATCCTGACTCACCCCACTGCCCCAAGGCTGCATCTTATTACTAAAGCAACATGGAGAGGACTCCATCACATTGCAAGTTATAGTCAGTGCTAATAATTGTTTCAGCAATTGTTGGCTCTAAACGCCATGAGTAGGTAGTTAAAAGGGCAATACCATGCTTTTCTACATGCTAAAACATCGGCTGGATATATTTGCATCATAGCAGGGAGTAGAATAAAATAATCTGAAGTTATTTTGAACAATGAGTTTGACAGTGAAGTCTGTCTGCCATATCGTCACTTAGATTTATATTGTTTTCTTGCACGTCAGTGTGATATGGATGTACAGTCTATTTAAATTAAGTTTGTCAAAGACAGGATGCAAGAACTGGAAGGCTAAATGATCCATCACCCATCACGACTCTTCCCTTTTCTGTCGTTCCTTGCACATTTCGTCTGTTTTGGTTGTGATTTTTTTTAGCTTGTGATCAAAACATGTGATAGCTCTCTTGCCCTTTGCTTCTCTGCTACCAAGCCCCAGAGATCTCAGCTAGATAACCACTTCCTGCCCCTGCCCCCCCAGTCTAGTATACATAAATTGTTTCCAGCATAAATGCAACTAGTCTTGTAGCTCTTCTTGGAGAAGAAATTTTTTATTGAACATATGAGACCTAGGGATTTGTGGATAAGAGATAGAGAGTCCATCTATTTTATGGAGTTTTGAATAATAGCATGGATAGCTATAAAAGAGCAAAACTTCCCAGCAGCCGATGTATTTTTAGAGACCCTATAGATTGCTCATTATGATTGTGGCCTGAGCAGGAATAGAATTTTGTCCTTTAAAAGGTTTTTTTTGAACTGAAAAGAGCATAATGGAGTAGGATGATCCTGCGTTACTAGGGTTCTTTATTAGTTCCTTTTCTTTTAAAGACCTTTTGAAAGACAGCAGTTCATCTAAAATTTTAGTTGGATACCATATATTAGTATACATTACCCTAATTCCAGTGGGACCTTGACAGAGTTTTACTGCCACTAGAGTTTGATTGGGTAGGGGACTAGATTTTAATTGAGCAAGTATGCAGCCTAACTTAGGGGAACAAGCAGGTAGGCCTCAAGTTCCAGGCTGCTTTTAAACGTTTCTTTCAACCTAGAGTGCTATTTACTTTGCACTTGTTAATACAGCTGCAGTTTACTCTGAGATAACATCCTTCCTACAGCAGTGCATGTTTTCATCAACATACTTCTTTTTTCTTCCCCTGTCTCATTGGCAGTTTTAATTCCTGTAAAAGGACCAATGCTTACATAGGAAAAGTGCATTGTCTTCCATCTTTCCCCCATCCTCTTCTCTCATCATTTTCTGCACTGGGAGCCCCATCACAACTGACCTGAACCAAACTTAAGGCTTACAGCAGCTGTTTTCTGTGATTGTACAAATAGGTTCACTGCAGTGGGATTTTATAGATTAAAACCACTAGAAGAGCCCTTGAACTTGTCATGGTCATACTGTTATCTTGTTCTACTTGCTGAATGGAAGTACTCTGTCCTACTGTGATTATTCACTAGACCTGCATTCATACGGAGGAGTTATTCTATTCATGGTACAATTAGATGCTTTGTTTTAAATCGCTCAGATGCTAGGATCTATTTTTTGACACAATCAGGTCATATTTCATATACTCAAGATCTGAGTATCTTAGTTCCTACAAGTCAGTGGGAGCTAGAAACGTTTGTCACTTACAAACTCTAGTAAATGCCTTTTAAAAAAATATTTACATTCAAGCCCTTGGCTTCAGAAGCAAGTGGTTTTAGCTTGGGCCTAAAAATCACTGCAATTTCACTATAGACCATTTATCTATGAATGAAAATGCAAGGAAGTCAATCTCAACCTTGCTCAAAAAGCAGTACAATGCACATGGAGTACTCAATAAATCACTGAGTAAATCACGCAGTGTATTAGAAACTCAGTCATTATGTGCTTAGGTAGTAAAAATTGCTGCTGATGCATGGATGTCAGATTTGTGAGGTAAACCTTGGAATTGTACCCAAAAAATAAAACGGTTCCACTTCAGCATTGTTGGTGAGAGGCTGGTAGATGGTTTTCTTCAGAGCTTGATTAGCCAACAGATGGGGCTGTGGAGCTTGTTTTCAGCACCTTCTTGTCTCCAGTAGTTCATCAAAAATTGATATTCAATATAAATGTATCTTTTCATCTTTTTGTACTCATTCAGAGCAGTAAGTTCAAGTGACAAGTATGTTTGATGAGACAAAGATGACTGCATTTTACTAAAAAAGTAGTGAAAAGTTATAAATACCACATTGACTGCTAAAGGGCATATACTGTTGAAGGGCACACTAGGCACATGCTCTCACGTTGCTAAAAGCTACTATTCAAATTGTTTTAGTTGATTTCTATCCATAGATTTTTATTTCCTGAAATTAAATATCTGAACAGTAGACAAGAAACGCTGAGTATTTAAACGTCCTTATGGTCTGTAAATGAGGTCCTAAACTTGAGCTTCTTGGTTCTAGAAAAGTCCCAATCTTTTCCTGAGTTCTTTGCAGATGAATTGGAGCATGCTTTATAAACTCAGTTTAAATAAATAGGGCTTTGGCACAAAATATATTAGTGTCAGATACTCTCTCTAACAGACGAAAAAGATTACTGAAAATGTATTTTAAACATGTTTCAGAGCCAAGTAAAGTACACCAGACAGATTTGAGTGGTGGCTTTCAGATGATTTGGCTTAGAATTCAAGGTGAATATTTGACAGCAAATAAAAAAAGAAAGAAATACAGGGCATAGACTCTGGAAGTTAGTGAATGTGGTCCAGGTCACCAGGCTAACTTTATGTAAAGCACCCTTAAAACTTCAGTTGCATGTTGCCAAAGCAGAAGTACATCATTTTCAGGAGCCACAGGCCATTGCTTTTAGTTTAGGGAGGAATCTGCAACAGTGTGTACAAAGTACCCCCTTCCTTAGTATCATGTTCTAGAGCATGCATGATTTAGAAATTTCCTGAGCTAGGCTTTGTTTCAAAACCATAGTGCTAAGTAACCATTGGTAATCACACTCACCTCTCTATTCATCTAGTATTTTTTTTACAGTAAGTGGGTTGGTCTTCAGAAAGGCCTGTGGCAATTGGTTCCATAGCTGAATTTTGTGCTTTGTAAAAAGTAATTTGCTGCTGTTTCAGGCCTATCGTCTCATTCTATTGAATGCTTATGTGTTTAATTGCTAATAAGGCTAAAATAGGCCCTAAAATATATATATATATTTATTTTTTTTTTACTGCTGAGTAAAGACTGTTGCTCAAACATAGGAGTTCTTAGCTTTGGACAATTAGCTTTTGATGATCCAAGGGCTGGAGCACCTCTGCTATGAAGACAGGCTGAGAGAGTTGGGGCTGTTCAGCCTGGAGAAGAGAAGGCTCCGGGGTGATCTTATGGTAGCCTTCCAGTACTTAAAGGGGGCCTACAGGAAAGCTGGAGAGGGACTTTTTACAAGGACATGTAGTGACAGGACAAGGGGCAATGGATTTAAACTGAAAGAGGGCAGATTTCGATTAGATCTAAGGAAGAAATTTTTCACTGAGAGGGTGGTGAGGCAGTGGAACAGGTTGCCTAGAGAAGTTGTGGATGCCCCATCCCTGGAAGTGTTCAAGGCCAGGTTGGATGAGGCTTTGGGCAACCTGGTGTAGTGGAGGGTATCCCTGCCCATGGCAGGGGGGGTGGAACTAGATGATCTTTGAGGTCCCTTCCAACCCAAACCATTCTATGACAATTAAATACAGGATTTAATCCTTCAGTCTGATCTCTTACATAGTATACTTGCTAAATTTATTGTAGCAAGTCAAAGACTTGTAAAGGTTATGCCATTATGTTACACTTCTTGCTTTAACAGTTAATGCTTTGAGTTTTAGGATGAGAAAACATCTTCCTGTGGGGCAAGTAGAGTTTAACTTATATGGTAACGTGCAACACTTTCAGTACAGAAATGGAGTTTGGTAGAGTTGCCAGCTCTCTTAAATCCTTTGCAAAGCCCTGTGCTTTGAGTTATTCCAAGAATTTTATTTTCTAATCTTCATGTTTAGGGGGAGAGTAACAGGAAGTTGGAACTTTCATATAGCTCACAGTTTAAAGAGACAAAGGTCACCCAACTTTATTTCCATGCCTGACTCCCTCAGATTCTAGGGCTCAGTTTGTGAGAGCAATAACAGCACACGGTACTGACTGCTTTGTTCTGTCCCCAGTGGACAGGACCTCGAGTATACGGACCGTGAATATGAAAAGACAAGGTGTTAATTGGGTTCATGAGGGGCTTTCCATTAGCTTTGTCAACACATCTAGCAGTACAGTTTTTTTAGGCAAGGACTTTTACTTAAACTGAGAGTCTACATTTAAGTTATTTACATAGAGTATCTTTAAGGTGATTATCAGAGATGAGATTTTTTTGACGTACTCTTGTGAGTCTGTTAGTCACTATAATGTCAAATATATTAAG